AGCTAGGCTTCCTAGCGTGTGCCACTGTGCCCAGACACACCGAGGACGTGTAAGTGGACACTACACGGAACAGAACTGCACTTCGGGAAGATGAGCGTGGCAGTGTCATGTAGTACACAGATGGAGCAGATGAAAATGGGAACATTGTGTAGCGAGAACGGGGTAGGAAGAAGCAAGTCCTGTTGGCTGCGAAGGCCATGGCTGAGAAGTGTGGATGGCTTGATGGGGGCGTGGTAGAAGTGGAAAGAGATTTTATAGATGGAAGCCATGCAATTTGGAAACTAATTAGATGGATAGAGGAAGCAAGCTTTTCAGTCTGTGGGAACAGAATGGTGGGAATGTTAAACAGAAAAGAGGCGAAAGAGCCTGCATTGTTGGAGGGAGAGCTGTTTTGGCTGTGGTGTGTGAGGCTGAGTGAAACGCTGGCAGGAAAGCTAGGTAGAGGACCCAAGCTGACTATTGAAAAGTGAATGTACAGGACGTCAGGTATTGGAGATACTGGTGCCTTGGTTCATGGCTACAGCTTTTGTTGTCTTGTTTGCAAGTCAGAAGTATTCGACATTTTTGTAGGCCCTGGACAGAACACAAAAAGACATTTTTTGTAAAAAGTTAAGTGCAATATTCAGTTACTATCAATAGTTCAGAAATCTTGTTTCTTCTATACCTGATTTTCTAAAATATGCATTTTTATACATTTTCTTGATTTGAAAAATCATTGCATTTTGTTGATAAATAACATCTCTTTTATAACTGCCTTCTCTTTACTTACACTATTTATTTAAAGAAACTGGGTGACTTGTTCTGTAGCTTTTTCTGCAGTCTGGATTTGGCTAATTTCAACTTTGATGTGTCATCTGCACTGTCTTCTTGCTCTCTCCATGTCTTATACACTGGTAGCTGGATCTAAGGCTCCCTTCCTTCTTTTCTTCCTCCCTCCCTCCTCTCTGTCTCTGTCTCTGTCTCTGTCTCTGTCTGGCCTTGAGCTCACTTTGTAGCCCAGGATGGTCTCGAACTTGCAGCTATCCTTCTACCTCAGCCTCCCAAGCGCTCGAATTACAAGCGTGCATCACCACACTGGGCTCTTTCTCCCTCCCTCACTTCCTTTCTTCTTTTCTTTTTCTTTCAGGAGAGGGGCAAGAATATTTCCTAGGTGGTGTATTTCCTATGTAGCACATGAGGAGACACAAGGCTGATCATTTGGTTCAGGTGTTCTCGGCTTTATAATATTCCCCATCAACCAACCTTTCGTGAGGTCCATTTTAGTAGCCAGTGATGATTTTGCAGAAAGCCTTCCTATCAGTAAGCCTGAAAAAAAAGGACATTCAGATGCATTGCTTCTGTATTTATTAGCAAGAATTTTTACTCTAAAGAACTTACTCTCACTGACTGGTTATCCTGGAATATTTTATGGAAGCTGTGCAAACTGGATGTGTGTTCAGTTCTTTTGTTTTATTTGCTAGTTTTCAGAATATTGATGTTCTTTTGTGTGCTGGGACCCAAGGCCTCGTGTGTGCTAGGCAAGTGGTGTGTGCCACTGAGCTACACCCTAGCCCAGAATCCTGAGATTTTCTATGGTATCTTTATGAACTCATGACTTTATATATTTGGTGTTTTTTCAATCCATTTGTAGTTTTTTTTTTTAATCCTCTTAATTATTTTGGCCAGTAGGAGCTCCTTTAAGCTGCATCTGTGTTTTTTTGACACGATCTCATTCTTTCTTGGCATCGTTTTGCTTTTGGCACACCAAAGTACCCTAGGGTCATCTTAAAATTTCTTTGCCCATACTTGAATTTTGCCATTGTTTCGAGGAGCATAAGTTCAAGACGACTTTTGAAGGAATGGAATTTTACTTTGGAAAGCTGTTAAAGAGCAGGGCAAGGGTCGGGGATATAGTTCTGCAGCACAAGAGCCTGCCTGGCAAGCACAAGGTCCTGAGTTTGATTCCTGGTACCAAAAAAAAAAAAGCAGGGCAAGACAGAATGCAGCTGTGTAAAGGATAGCCATACTGTGCAGCAAGGCATCTGTAAGTGCTGCAGAAAATGCCGCTGATTCCTGGAATGGTTGGGAAAACCTTTGGGAAGAGGGGAGACGGGCTTGGCGGCCACATGGGGAGGAAACAGACAGCCGTGTGCCCGTGGCAGAGGAGAAACAGCGAGGGGTGCGAAAGGACGGGCAGGGTAGTGAAGGAGCCAGGCCAGACTCAGCACACCACTGTGGGAAGAGAGAAGCTCCTTTGCCGAGAGCCGAGGGAGGCCGTGCTGTAGCAGCGTTGGTCTTGAAGCAGGCGAAGCAGTGGCCTAAAGGTGTGGTTTCTTTGCTAGGATTTGTAGCCACATCTCTGAAAAATTAAAAAGTGCCAGACTAATACCAGGGTCTATCTTAAACCTGTAGAGTACTGGACAGGGGGAGTCTAGGCTCATCTGCTTTACAAAAGACCCCCTGTGATTCTGTTTTGGGTAACCTTGTTAAAGGGCGATTGAGGCAGAGACTAAAAGCTCAAAGAGCTCGCTGGTTTTAAATATTCTAGGCACATGGTATAGGGACATGGGTTGGGGTAGTGGCAGTGAGAATGGGATACAACAGTGCAAATTTATGTCTGTAACATTTCTATTTTTCATGAATTATGTTAACACTAATACAAGGATTCAAAGAAGAGGAAACTAAGTTGATCCCTGTGTGGGAGCCTGGGAGAATGATATGACCGAAGTGGGAAGCTTGACAGATTGCTAGTTTGGGGGAGAAGATAATGTATTTTTGGACATACTGAAAGCCAAGAGAATGATTATTTATCAGAGAGAACTAGAGGGAGTTGAAATGTGTTTTATTCTTTTTCTGAATTCAGAAAAAGTGCTTCATGAATTCTTTGTGTGTGTGTGTGTGTGTGTGTGTAGTAGTCAACTAGTGAATATGAGATATGCTACATTAACTGGGATGCTTGATAACTCTTGTTTTATTTAATAAATGTGATCATAAAATATGTGGCATATTAAATAAAGAACTACCAAATGTAAAGTGGGGAACAGGCTAGAAAAGCATTGGTGCATTTGTATAAAGATTAATATAAAGGGCTGGGGATTTAGCTCATTGGCACAGCGCCTGCCCGGCAAGTGCAAGGTTGTGAGTTTGATTCCTGGTACCGGAAAAAACAACAACAACAACAAAAAAGATTAATATAAAAACTGTAACCATTTGAAACAAAAAAAAATCAGTAGTTTAAGCAAAGGATTTATTTATTTATTTATTTATTTTGGTTTTCCTCCGGTACCGGGAACCGAACTCACAACCTTGCGCTTGCCAGGCAGGCGCTTTTGCCGCTGAGCTAAATCCCCAGCCCCTAAGCAAAGGATTTAAATAGATAATTCTTGCTGGGTGTGGTGGTGCAGACCTGTAATCCCAGCACCCAGGAGACTGAGGCAGGAGGATCACTGTGAGTCTGAGGCCAGCTTAGGCTACGTAGTGAGTTCAGAGCTGGTCTGAACAACATTCTGAGACCGTGTCTCAAAAAAAAAAAAAACCCAGGAAATAAATAGATAATTCTTGCAGCTGGACAGTACAATTCATTCCTTTACCAGATATGTCAAGTACTCTTCCTAGTGCTAGCACACAAGACAGGTGGTCACTGAGCAGTCTGGTATGCTATAAGAGATGGACAGTAAAGATACCCAAGAACGCAGGAATTTCAAATACTGCTGATGCTGTTAAGATTGGGAGCTGGCTGTGGTGGCACATGCCTGTCATCCCAGCGCTTGGGAAGCCAAGTTCAGTTCCTGCTGGGCAGTTTAGTGAGACCCTGTCTCAAAAGGAGGGGAAGATGTAGCTCTGCAGATAGCCCCTGTACTGGGAGGAGGAAAAAGGGTATTTGACAGGGCACGGAGGTAAAAAGGGACTTCAGGGCTTTATTTTGCTTTTTTTCTTTTTTGCCTTTTCTATGGGGAAAGCATTGGTAGTATTGAACTGCTGGAGGTTTGCATTTTTAATCTCTGCTTAATTATGTGAAAAATTTTGGTCAGATTTACATTCTGCTGGCTTCCCTGATAATTGGACTCATATTTTTATTTTTTAAGGTTTTTTTTGTTTGGTTCTTCTAGAAAATGTTTATGTAGATTTCCTCCTGACTAGAGAGATCAGTTGTTCCTTGTGGATTTTTTTTCACAGAATAGTATAGGTTTTATTCTTTTGGGAGGGATACTGTTCTAAAAATATTAGCATTTTTCTTGTGGCTTCTTTTATGTATAATTTGATTCTAGTATGAGTCACCGGCAAATCTGAAGCTAGCAGCTGAGTCTCTGGGCAACTTTTAGGCTCATTTTGCAGGGAGGTGCAATATACGAGGTATCTTCAAAGCTCATGGAAATCCTGAGTAGTTAAGGAAGCTGGATAGAGCTCCTCTGTCCTGCTGTTTAACTATACATCATGTAACCAAATGTTTCAAACTGTAATTAAAGCATAGGAAGTTCAATGGATTTCTTTAAAGAAAGGTAGTAAGTAGTTTACAGATGGAAAGCTGCTTAAGAAACTTCAACAAAAGCTGGACAGGGTGTTGTACACCTCTAATTCCAGCATGTGGGAGACAGAGGTGCGGTGATCGCTGCAAGTTCAAGGCCAGCCTGGACTACATAGTAAGGCTGCACTACAGAACAAGACCCTGTCTCAAAAAGAGAAACTTCTGCAACAAAAAAATTTTACATTTTTATACAATACTGAAAAGTGACCTAGAAACACAGAAAACAAGATAAATGCCTATTCTGAAGTACTAAAAATTACAGTAAGTTTAGGAACTTCTGTAGGAATGAGAAGGTGCTAATGAAATAGGAAAACAAATTTCAGTCTTTAATATTTGATGATTTACTGCTGGGAATACAAGGTTTGCGGGGGGCGGGGAAGAAGATGAGGACTTTAGAAATGGAAACAAATAGAATGTAAGGGAGCGACCTCTTCTGCTTTCATTGGCCTGTTTCCTTTAATTCTGACTGCCTTGTATGGAACTCTTCTTTTCAAAGGAAACTTGATATAACTTCAGACGAAGATTTGATTCCTCATTTCTGGATTGCGTGCATCACAAGGCCAGCAGGATGTCGGGAGCCTCAGTGAAGGTGGCTGTCCGAGTGCGGCCCTTCAATTCTCGGGAGACCAGCAAGGAGTCCAAGTGCATCATTCAGATGCAGGGCAACTCGACCAGTGAGTACATGTTGGTTTCTCTCCCTTCTCCACGCACTTCTCGCTGTGATCAGAAGTGAGCGTTGTGTATTAAGGCTCTGAGCTTTGTCGTTCTGAAGGACTCACTGAATGTTTCCTGGTCTCAGCTGTTTGCTGCAGTTTCTTTGTGCTTCATTCTATATAATTAAATTTTATATAAAATTTATAGGTTCCTGATTATCGAAACTGTCATTTTTCTCTTTGAAAAATACATTAATTTCAACTAGTTTGGAGGCAGTTTTGGCTGTTGGTATTAGCTCTAAAAGTGCTGTATATGTTGTATTAAGTTCTTTTAAAAGGTGGATTTTAAGAAATCCTGGGTCTAGGGCAGGAATTGACTTTCTCTGTAATCTGTTTTGGTATCCTCAGTGCCTCTTGCTTATCTAGGAGAAATCGCCATATTGTAAGGATCTGTTTTCATTAATACTAGGGATATATATTACTGTTTCCATATAGGATTAGAAATTGTACTAAAAACTTTTAAGTAGAAAATGGGTATTTGAAGGCCATATTCAAGAAATCAAAATGTCAAAAGGGAATAAAAGTAAATGAACCATTTCTATTTGTGTGTGACACTGGTTTTTTTTTTTTTTGGACTGGGAGTCGAACTCAGGACCTTGTGCTTGCCAGGCAGGTGCTGTGCCACTGAGCTATATCCCTGGCCCTGACGCTGTTCTTTATCTTGAAGATAAATAATTTCAAGATGTCTGGTTTTTTTTTTTTGTTTGTTTTTGAGACAGGATCTCACTATGTAGTTCACGCTGGCCTTGTACTCACTATGTAGCCCAAGCTTGCCTCAAACTCACGGCAGTCCTCCTGCCTCAGCCTCCCAAGTGCTGGGATTACAGGTGTGCACCACCATGTCAAGGCAAGATATCCACATTGCCTTCAGGTGGTTTATTTATATTCATTGTCAAAGTGAGATAGCATTTCTTATTTTCCCTGCAGTTTTGACTTATTTTTGTGAAGGAGTAAAACATTTTCTCATAATAAAAAAACTCAAATAGTACCAAGAATGTGCAATACAGAGACTTATCTTACCATGTGATCAACCAGTTCCTCTCCCCAGAAGCAGCGTGTGTTAGATTTCCTTATGGCGATTGTTCAAGTTTCCTTTTGTAGATAATTCAAACAGCAGCATCTTTTTCCTTTTTTTTTTTTTTTTGGTCTTTTTGAGACAGGGTCTCGCTGTGCAGTTCAGGCTGGCCTTGAGCTCACTTTATATCCCATGCTGATCTTGAACTTGCAACAGTCCTCCTGCCTCACCCTCCCTTGGATTATAGGCATGTTCTACCATGACTGGCCTAGCAGCATCTTTTTCTAAGATTGTTTTTCTCCTTTTAGTGATAAGATGTTAGCAATTTATTTTTCAGTCTTTACTACACTGTATGCCTTAAATACTTTAATAGTACAGTTCATGTTTATAATTTGTAAAATTGTAGTTGTTTCCCTCGAGATTTTTGTATGCGGCAATATCCATGTAAATTAGTGGGTTTATTATGTATTAGTAGTTATCTACTATATGTCTATGGTATGCTAAATACTACATATATAAAGTATCCAAAAGTCATCCATCGATTGTCTGGAAGAACAAAACTATCAGTGTGTGTAGTAAAATTATTTCAATGTCTTAGTCTATTTTCTGCTGCTGTCACAGAATACCTGAAGCTGGGTAATATATCTTGGAAGAGATTTCTTTTGGCTTCAGTTCTCAAAGTTCAGGAGCATGGTATGGGTGTTGGCTTGGCTTCTGCTGGGGCCTCAGGCTACTTCAGATGGTGGAGAAGTGGAAGACAGCAGGCTTGCCTGTACCCACACACTTGGTGGTAACTAAGCCACTCTGCACGAGCGTGGTGCTCCGTAATAGAATTAACCTGTTAGAGGTCCCATCACCTCTCAACTCTGTAATACCTGGGACCCCTGCCTCGGCTTGAGTTTGTTGAAGACAGACCACCCTCAAACTACAGCGTTTTTTCTGTAGTTCTGAGTAATAGATCTGAGTCTGCTTGATTTCTGACATTGCTGTGTTTTGAGCATCTGGATTAAAACTAAGATTATTGATGCCTAAGGAAGAAAATGTTAGGTCTCCTTGTTATCTAAGATAGATCAAATGCTATTTGATCTTTTTGCTTTGATTGTATACAAAATGAAGTCAGTTTAAAGGAAAAAGTAAAATCAGCTAAGTATGATAATTCAGTCTGGATGGGGATTTTAGATGTTTACACTTGTGGTAGAAAGAAAACTGAAGAGCCAGGAGTGGTGGCACATATGTGTAATCCCAGCACTTGGGAGGCTTAAGCAGGAGGATTGCCACAAGTTTGAGGCCAGCCTGGGATACATAGTGAGTTTGAGGCCAGCCTAAACTACATGGTGAGACCTTGTCTAAAAAAAAAAAAAAAGAGAAAGAAAAGAAAAGAAAGAAAGGAAACTTGAATAGGGAAAGAAGATTCCTAGTTGAACATTTCTGAAAATAGAGCCATAAATTTTAGAGTTGACTGCAATATAAATTTTAATCATTCATTTTTGCTTATTTCCCATAAAAATCTCTATAATTAGTAGAAATATTGATGTGTCTTTTGATGAAATATTAAAGGCAAAATGTCTGGTGTTTATTAAAAGTAGTAACAGTTTGATTAGAGCAGGTTTGTACTAGGACATGAAGGGGTACCTGTGGAGGACCTTAAGCACAGTGCGGCGCTCCTGATGATTTCCCCCATATTTTATCCAGACCTTCTTAGAGCACGGCTGAAGGGTGTGCTCTGCCCTCCTTCCCTCTCTCCCTCCCGCCCACTTGAGCATCTATCTGCTCCAGCATGAGTTCTGGGGGGGGGGTCACAGAGGTCACCACACTGGGGGAGCCTGTTCTGTACGGAGTGCTTAGTTTGTGATAGGATTAATGACAAATTAAAATAAGCTTAATACAGAATAAAAGTGATCAAAGTCCTAATTACCATAAAAGGGGTTTTTAAAAGTGCACATGTGAGTTGACAAAGAACATATGTAAGGATTTACTGATGAAATGGTGTTTAAGCTGGACGTTGAAGAGTAGGGTATTAACAAAATATCCAGTATACTTGGGGACAGTTCAGAATTGTAGCTTGTTAATGGTAATATTAGGACTAGCTAATGGTACTTCAGAACAGCTGTAACACATTGCGTCTTTGAATGTAGAATTTCAGCAGGAGAAATTTGTGACTTTTAAATTAATGTTAGTCTGCTAGAAAAAAACCACTTATTAGATCAGGCTTGGAAAAATGAAAGTATGTAAGGTAAATATTCTATCATGGTTCAGAGAGTTTGGGGTCATTCTGATTTTTTGGGGGGAAGGGTGTTTGTTATTGGAAAACAGCTCATGATGGGGGAACTTGTATCTTATATAAAAATTTTTATTCTAGATTTTTGTCTTGTTTTGTTTTTTTGAGACTGTGTCTTTACTGTGTAGTCCAAGCTGACCTTGAACTCACTATATAGCCAGGGGCTGGTCTTGAACTCACAGTGATCCTCCTGCCTCAGCCTTCCAACTGCTAGAATTACAGGCGTGTGCCATGGGCATCCGCCTACATTTTGAAAATACTGTACCATTGTTGCAGAAAACGAACTAAGTGTGCCATAACCGCACATGTGAGCTCTTTTAAAAGACTGCTGTGCTAGCAGGCTGGTCTGACTGCCACTCACAGGGGTTCCAGCTGACTGCAGATGGAAAGCGATGGAATGCTCCTGCCGCAAGGTCTCTTTACGAAGGAGGAGAGAAGAGCCCTTGAGGGAGTGTGCGAAGTCTGAGAGCTGAGTAGTAGCCCTTTTATTTGAGCACTTTCTGGTCCCGGAGGAGAGATTTTACACGCACAGATAAATGTTACTGCTGTGACATTTTGGAGTCCCAAGCACATACAAATGGCTTTGTTTGATAATACCTCATTATATTCCAAGCTTCTCCCACTTTGGAAGCATTTTTTATTGTCTAATTATTTTGTTTTTAAAAAGCTGTGCACACTTCTGGTTAGTTTATATGTGTAAATCTGGAGACAATGAACCTACATCAATTTCCAAGAGAAACAGGAGGCGGACAAAGCCGGTTTTCCCATATGCTGGAAAAGGTACTTCTTGGGTGATTGACTCCGGTATACTGCTTTGTCTTTAGTCATAGGGTTCTATTTCTCGGCTTTGGTAAGTCCCCCTCACTCACAGTCTTCCTCTGCCAGGGTCTTCTGTTTGTTTTCATTGTCCAGTCCCAGTGGGACAGAAGTGGCCTTGATTTTTTTCTGTTCATTGCTTACGCTGTATGTTTTTAAGGCTTTCTCATCCGCACATGCACATTTCTAAAACAAATGCTCTGCAGCGCAACTGGCTCGGAGAATGATTCTTTGTCCACTGCTGAAAATCTGGGGGGAGAAGAGCAGGGACAAAAAGGAGATTTGAGAAGGAAGCATTCCGAAGAGAATGTGTGTAAGGTTGTATGTTTTTCTAGCATGAATTAGTCCTGGTTGATCTTGAAGGTAGAGATGTGGTTTACCCATGCGTGTCCATATTGGAGAAGGAATATTGTATTCAGAGCACACGCCTTGCCTGCAGCCTGCTCATTCTGAAACTTCCTAGCCATGTCTTCAGTCGTTCCTTTCTGAAGAGAGGACTCTCTCCTTTCACTCTCACATGCCCACCTGGGCTAAATGACTTCCATTGACTGGGCTGTAGTAGCAAGGCGACCAGAAGAGAAAGAAGTTAATGTAGAGTAGGAAGAAGAGTTCAGTGTACAGTTGAAATCTGGTTGGGTTCCAGTGTCAGTGAACTGTCTTTTACATTTGGAAATGCAATACTTTCCCTGGGTGAGGACTTGGAGCGAGAGCAGCCAGGGTGTGTGAATGAAGAGGCCTCTGAAATGAGGCTACGCTTACTCACCCGGCGCTGATTAAAACCCGTTCTCAGCAGGTCCCCAGTGAAGGTGCTGGTCCTGGTCCTGTGCTGTTAGTGGCCTTCGCTGCCCTCGG